GTAGCCACCCAGTTTTCTCAAAATACAGTGGTGTAAATGGTGGCAGGCAGGGCCATCTCCACTATCACACTGACATAAGAGGAAAGGGATGGTCTAGGAGACCAGGAGAGTCGGCCTGTGCGTGGTAGGCAGGGAACGAAGAGTATTTGCCTTGAAATGTCCTGAAAGGAGACAGGACACCCTACAGTACCCAGGTTGATCCATAAAAAATTAATCCAAGGCTCACACTGGCCAGCTGACTCTGGGCAGCACAGGCCCAGCACACTTCTGCTTTGGAGTTAAGGCTGCTGTTTAACCCCCATTGTGTGTACAGTTCCCTAGGCCCTGGTGCTCTGATTAGACAACCTAACAAAACTCCTCACTGGCCCTTGTAAGACCCTGAGTTTCTGTTAGGCAGCCCCTTGGAGTACATACTTCAGAGAGGAGGAGATGCCTGGAGGAGTGGGGAGGAAGTAAGCTCATGTATGACAGAGAGTGCCAGGAGCCTTCTGTTCACAGGTCAGGTACTCCTCAAGACCTTGTTTCTCACAGTATTTACCACTCTAAACCTCCCCTGGAACTTGGGGGAAAGACACCACTAAGAATGACAAGTAATTATAACAACAGCCTGGCTCAAAGACAATTTTAACAACCTGAGACAAGTGAGTCATCTCCCAGCGGACGTCCTTAGCTCTCAAATATCTTCTCTCATAGAAAAAGCATCCCCATGGATCTATGAGAAAAAAACAAAGCCAAGTGACCTGCAAAGGGTCCCTAAGGCCACGAGGTCCCACTGGTACTTGCCTGTTGCTTGTGCCTGGGCATCAGCCGGGACCTATCTTGTCGACTTCCTTACATTGCCCTGCTTCCTTTAGATCCTTGAGAACCCACTGCCCTAAGTGTATGCCACTTACACCCAAGCTATGGCTCTTTGATCTGTCCTTCACAGCCAGGCAGGAGCTATGCTGGTCACTGTCCTAAATGATGAGTTACAGGCTGCAAACCTAAATGCTAGGCGCTGACTGGCTTCCGAGTGTTCATATTTCAGTGACCTATTAATTATTCAAGCAGAGTGGCCTGTGTGTGATGGGCAGATGCTATCAGCAAGTCATTTTGGTGATTGGTAAACAAACCTGGATTCTATGACCCTCAGGTGGGAGATGAGCCTCAGGCTACAGAATAACATATGCCTTGCAGTGCCCTCTGCCCCCATAAGGGCAGAGGTCCATGAGACCATAACTTATTCCAAGATAACTTAGACACCTCCTACCCAGCTTCTAGAGAATTTGGCTCCTCAGCCATCTCCGCCAGCAATGGTCAGGACCCAATAGGCATGGAGACCTGATGACCATGGCCCACACCAAGGCCAAGAGGGACATTGCAGGACAGGGATGATGCTCAATAAGGGGATTTGTTTGATGGAGCCAGTGCAGCCCTGGCTAGATTTGGGCAGAGTATCCAAGTTATCTGTTCTACCAAGGAGAAGGCAAGTTTTGGAGTCCAGGAAAATTCACTATCTTTCTCATTGGTGATAATGTGACAGTGGAAGCAAGACCACTGCATTCTCTAGATAGATGTGGGAGTCTCTGACTCAGTGGCTGGAGGAGGATATGGTCACTAGAGGTGAAGGGAGACATCTCTGTGGCCACATATGTCCACACAGACTTTGCACAGATCATGTCCAGAGGGGTTGCAGGGTGGGTCTGGGAGCCACCAGATCAGCCTGACAGATGGGTCCTTCCTAGCACTTCCTTTAGTCTAGAAGAGTCAGGGGCCTCACTGCTCATGCCCACAGCTGTTCATTCCCTTTGTGTATGGGACTTTTCAGATGATAGAAGAATGTAAAGTCAGTGGTCCTGAAGAGTGAGCAGCGTGGTGATCACTGAACAACCAGCAAGAGCCTTTGGATGGTTAGTCCCCAGTATGAAAAAGACAAATCCATGGAAAGAACAGAAGTGACATCATCCTTGGTGGGAACAATGACCCCTGGGAGAAGAGCACTATCCAATAGGAAAGTCTCTGGTAGAGGGAAGGAGTCCTAAATCTGTACACTCACCACTGGGCAGATGATGATTTGGGCAAGTCCTTTACTTATTGACATCTCCAATAAGAGCAAAGCTAGGCTAGATGCCAATGCCCTTTCCTCCTCTGAAATGCTATAGCCTTTGATGCCACCTGTTTGTTCTGGTCTGGTCAGCATGGTCCAGTGTGGCCCAAGGAAGGGAATTGCTTCCAAGCAGTCTTTCTGCACCCCAGGGCTCAGGAATATGACCTTCCTCTTGCCTGCTCTTTTCCTCTTGGACACCACTAAGGTAGTTTTCCGTTTTGCAAACTGCTGTCTTTAACTTTATGAACAAACTTCTGAGATAGAGGAAAATATGTTGCTGAATCTACTACAGAGACTGGCAGTGTTTGAACACACTTCTGTGAGATGGAAGATCTGAACAGTTGAGCCTGCAACAGACACTGACCATGAAATGGAATGGCTGCACACATGACAAGTGGTCTGGTCCACAGCCTCACCCAGAGTGCTGTATGATGTGCCCACCTCAAGAACCTGCAAGAAGTAGGCTGGGCACCAGAGCTGCTGGCGCTAAAGGATGTGTCAAAATAACCCGGCAGCTCAGGGTAGAACTTTGTGGTTACAGTGCTTTCAGGGCAACCGAGAGAATTTCTATTTTTGTGTGTTTCATAATTATGTGCAAATTCTATTTTTATCTAATTTGTGGTCCAACAACAGAAAAGAAAACAAACCCCCTAAAGCCCGTCTTTTTAGCTGCTTATGTCACACCAGCAGCAGTGAGCTTACTTTGTGATGATATACCAGAAAACTCCTTGGATTCCTAATTTATCACAATGAGAAAAGCCACAAAACCTAGCCTTTTAGGTTAGGGATTGTGTTCTTTATCCTTTCACCAGTGCTGGGGACAGGGATGGCTGTTCCTGTTTTTGCCTTCCTCCCTCAACACATATAATTTAATTTAATTTTGAGGCTACATCTGAAACACTGCTTTTAATTTCATGATTCTCTGAAATGCATCAATTTCCTGGATATAGTGTACACTGACAGGTGACTGTCGCCTTGTGCCCAAGATCCCCAGAGCATGGTTCTCCTAGGGTAGCAGGTCAGCTTAGCATTTGGTACACAGGCAGCAGTGGCTACCAGTAGGTGATGGACACCAATTCCTCAAAACATTAGGACTCTTCACACTCACTCTTCACCTGCTTTATCCTCCAAAAGCAGCTAAGATTCTTAAACCACTATCAGCCAAATTTTAGAAGGTACAGACTCACATCCAGTGCTTCATCTTTCTGATGAAGGCATGGTGTTTACATCCCCTGGCTCGGCTCCCCACCCAGCACCCCTCACTCATATGATCCACAATAAGTAGAGGTGCTTGGCCATTATCTCTCCATTTACGTTCCCGCCTCCTTCTTTAACAGACTTATTTCCTCTCCTTTTAGAACCTGTTCCATTCAGCAATAATGCGCTTTCATTCAGTGAAAACCACAGCAGGAAAGGAGAGGTAAATACCTGTAGTTACCCAGCGCAGCTGAAGGCAGGCTCTACCTGACCTCTTCCACCTGGGAAGGTGGAAACTTAAAATGTCAAGCCGGCTGTTGTGTGCTGATGTCTCCTACATTTTCTCACATCAAGCAGCTAACAAAGTAGGTATTAATTGGCGTCAAGCACACAGGCCACAAATATCACCTTAATATCACCCACAAGCGCTGCTAAAGTGCTTCATTTCTGCACCTCGCCTGGCTCATTCCATGTGGCTGATTGCTGCGTTGGCAAACAGCCATTTGTCTCTATGGCCTCCTGCCCTTGCCAGCTTTTTATTTACCTAAATGGAATAAAACAAAAGTACAGGGTGCCCTGCTGCGTAACCCTTCCAGCTTGCATCGGTCCCAAAATAACAGGGTTGGGCACCTGGGTTTATGATGTTGGGGTACTGGAGTAAAGGGCTCTCTAGAAGGTCACATGACCAGAGCTGGCCAGAGAGCAAGCACCTCTCTGTGGCACTTAAAACAGTAACATCTGGCGGCCTGAAGCTCACAAGGTGACAGTCATGACACATGACACAGGGAAGCAATGACAGCCTCACACACCTCATCAGGACTACAGAGTCCAGAGGGAGAAGGGAGAGGTTGGGTCTATCATACAGCTGGTTATCAATGTGCCTCCTGGTTATTAATGTGCCTCATGGTGAGTGTTCTAACTCCATAGCAAGGGAACGTTTTCCTTCCAAAAAATGCCAAAGGTGTGTCTGAGTCCGCCTTGATCACCTCCCCTAGGATCTCCATCTCATTACCATCCCTCTCATTCTCCACCCCTACCCAACACCTCTAGGTAGGCTGATGAGCAAGATGGCCTGAGACCTGCACTTCCACTGAACCCAGGTGTGATGTGGGTAGGGCGTATGTGACTGTTCAAGGACTAGAGACTTTGGAAAGAGAAGAATGGCGTGGCAGAATAATCCATGCAATGGAGCCACATCTGCAAATGAGTCTGTTTGGGACATTTTTTTAAAACCACTACACTTGTAACAAAAAGCACTCTGTGGTACCTTCCCTCAAGAACCCACAGGCATTCCCTGACTCCCAAAGGTCTCACTCACCATCTTTGTTTCAACTTTGTGTTAGTGCAAGTGACACACATGCAGAATAACTACACCTTGAACTTCCAATTTTGCTCAGTCAGCCCCTCAGTCAGAAGGGGAACAGTGACTGTTCTGCCTATGCTATGCTGCATGTTCAGTTAGGTGTAGTAAATATATTTTGACTTCCTATGTTTTCAATCTATCAAGAATTCACTGGGACATAATCATATTGGAAGTTGAGGAGAATCTATATTTAGGAGGAAATGGGACTTTCTATATATCTAACATTTAACTAGCTGTCAGGTGATCATGTTTAAAAACAAGGGAAAGCCCTGCTAGATATGGCTCTAAAAATACATTTGGACTGAGAGGTGCCAAGTCATGAGCTGAATTGGTGGGTCACAGCAGACCCCATACCTGCACAATGGGGTGTCCTCCAGCTGATGCTTTCACGGCCCCCCGGCTGCCTTCTGTCTCATAGTGAGCTCTGTGATGGGACTTGGGCTGTACCTCAATCCGCAGTTCATAGGGACCAGAGTGAGATGGCAGCTGCCAGTCGAGGGCAGGTAAAGATGGGCTGCAAAGGAACGGAAGAGAGTTAGGTACAGATAGACACGGAGACAGTTTCCTGTGCTGTGTTTGAGGTGCCATCACTAGATCAGCCTTCACCACTTTTATTTAGCATCCTGGTGGGGACAAAAGTTTCTGTAAGGCCATGAGTACTGTATCACCATTTTGGTCACAGCTTCTGGTGTTTTATGAACAAGAGAAATCAGCCAGTTTTTTTTTTTTTTTTAATGCTAACAGAAGCTGATATCCATAGTGATAGAGGAGACAAGCAGAGACTGCTAGCCAGGGAAGTCACCTCTGGGATATAGGGCTTTGGTAGGGGTCACCCTCCTCAGGGAAAGCCGTGAGAGGCATGCACAGTCAACTGGGGCTCTGGGAGCAGTTCCCCCTGCGATGCCAGGTTACAGGCTGGCTTGTTCAGCAGACCTGAGTGAAGGAAGATGAAACTGCTCGGCCCACCCTCTCTGCTCCTATCTGACATGGCCAGTGCCTCCACTCCAATTTGAACACGGCACACTTGTGTTTGTCACCATGTTGGCACAAGCTGGACCACCTCTATAGGAATTAGGCCCACAATCATGGGGCAACAGGTGCACTGAGTGTCTGCATCTGCCCAGAAGAGAGGAGTCATGATGGCATGAGGCTGGCCCATCTGTGGTGCCCACCATGTCTTCAGAGCAACAGTACAAAAGGGACAGGTTTCCTGATTCGGGAAGTGCTACCATGCACTCAGCAGCTGGTACTGTGCCTGTCAGGGCCATTTCCTGTATAGGGTTATCGGAGTCACATACCCAGTTTCCGGCTGCTCTGTCAGGCGGAAGGAAGAACAGTAGAGCGGAGGCTTGGCCAAGAGGGTCCTAGGGAAGGTGCCCCATGGGAGCTAAGCAGCCCCCTGCTGCTGGCAGATGAGGTGGCTCAGGAGCTGTAGGGCCACTATCCTCAGAGACAGAGTGCGTACCCAGGTTTCAGGAACACTGGGAAATATACCACATCTGAACACCAGTGTGCCATCTCCACCGTATCTCCTACATATGCATATGAGATCAAGCTGACTGATCTTTCCAGAAAGACTATGCTTTGTTATGAATAGAAAAAGGAACAAGGGCTGGAGGGATGGCTTAGCAGTTAAGAGCACGAGTTGCTCTTGCAGAGGACCTGGGTTTGAATCCCAGCACCCACATGACGGCCAGCAACCATCTGTAGCTCCAGTTCCAGGGGATCCGACGCCTTCTCTGACCACCTTGGGCATTGCACAACATGGGTACACTCACATACATGCAGGCAATATACTCATATACATAAGGTAAAAAAATAAAATAAAATATTTAAAAAACAGAAAAAGGAATAAAAACAAAATTCACCACAAAAAGAACTGGACTCCTAAGGAATTAAAAAAGAAAGATGGAGGGAGACTGAGACAAAGAGGCTGAGAGAGAATGATAAAATGAGAGGCAGGAAAAAGGATGAGGGTCAGCCCGGGGCTTCCTAATCTTGTGAGGCCAGCCAGGTTTCCTGAAGGTGAGGGGTTAAGCCCTCTGCACCTACTACACAGGAATGATTTTGTGCCAAGAGTATGCTCTTCAGTCACATGATGTGCAGCACAATACATATACAGCTGACAGTAACACACTGACAAAGCACTGTAATCTAGACATTTAAGATTGTCAACTCTTGTCGGAAATTTTTAGCATGAATCTGACAGCTCTGCAACCCTACAGTCTGGTACCGTGGGTCAGAGAAGGGGCTCAGGCTGGGGAAGGGAAGTTGAATAGATACCATCTGCCCACTGCTGCCCTCCTGGGGTCTGATCTTCAGGGTGCCATCAGGAGTCTGCTGCCTATAGAGGGGTTCTCTGACAACAGGCCCAGTGACTGGGATTTGCCTGCTAAAGATGTACACTCAGGACTGATCCAAACTTTGTGCTTCAAACACGCCTTCAAGTCAGTCCCATCTTTTAAAGAATCAAATGGCGCAGGTCCCCAAGATCCCCTGATTTGTACAAATGGGAATCATTTGGCATTACCTACATACTTTAAAATTCCTCATCACATACTAGCAATTCAGAGGCATTATCTAAACAACTGGGTGTGGATGTGCAGGCACTTTACACAAAATAGGGTATGTCTTCACAAAACAAAATGTGTAATTGGTATCTTTTTTTAAAAAAAAGAAAGATCATATTTTGGGCATCTTACCTATAGTTCGAAATACTGTTTAATCACAGTATCACATTTTATCACAGAAACAGTTACTATTCTATGGCTAGACTTTGAGTAGTGCCCCATCTAATGCTATCATAAAAACCAGTGATTTTGAAGTCCACATAGTTAAATCAGGGACCATATCTCGATCCCTCTCTCTGAACAAGGTCACATTTTGGATTCCTGAGGCATTAGCCTATTGCTTCCATGAGGAAGGAGGAACCCCTCTCTCCTCAACTGGTCAAACATGAGCTGGATGTTTTCACTGTCTCCAGAACTATTCGCCCAGAAATGATTTCATGTGCTGCTCTTTGCACCTTCCGTGCAGCAAAACTGAAAGCAGTGCATGGAATATGAAGAATATATTGGATGAAAACAATACTTCTGATCCACCAGAAGTAAAAACTTCTGGAAATATCTGCCCCCCAAACATCTGCTTGATTTCTGATCTGCATTTTATTGAAGACCCTGTGAGGCCCCAGGACACTTCCCATGACCTGAGGGCTGGCCTCCACCCTAACAGAGGCTGGCCACTTGTCCCATCCACCTCTGTCGGTACTGTCAGATACTACATGTGACTGGCACCTTCTCTGAACCTGTTCTAAATGGTCATCTATGAAGAACAACCTCATGACATCATAGAGGGGGTACCAGGCCTTGTCAACTCTATGTGACAGACAAAAATCCTGTACAGAATAGGATTGCAATAGAATACAGGATAAAACATAAGTGCAGATCTGGAGATGAGTAGCCCTGAGCTGGGCCATACTGTTGGCTAGAGCTTATTATTAAGCTTGGGGATCTAGAACCTGTCCTCCATGCCCTAGTAGCTCAAGTGCCCCACTGTTCTCTCAACCTATTCCAAACACACACCCAGAGGTTTTATACAAATTACGTTTTTCTGAATTCTTTCAAGGAAATTTTTTCAGAACCCTTCCTTGATTCTGAGATCCTGAGGGCCTCAGATCACAAAGCAGTGTGCCCTCAGGCTCTAGTGTGTACAGGAACCAAGCTAACGCAGCCTTCACGAAGGGGGTGGAGGGCCAGAGGGGTAGGCTGAGTGGGAATGACTGGCAGCCTCCCCTGATAACCAGGCAAGTCAGACCTTCCACAGTGCTTAGCACGTGGGCGTAATGCAGGGAGAAGCCACCAGCTCTCCTGTTTTGAATCATTGTTCACAGTGTCCTTTCCCACGAGAAAGGGCTCCACCTCCCACTGACAGGAAGTTAAGAAGATGCTGCTGTGAGTGTACAGGTCACAATCACAGGGACTACCCCCACACTGGATCCCAAACCTGAGGCTACAGTGGGCTCACATTTCCTGGTCCCTGTCTATACCAGGTCCACAATTTCAGCTCTGTTGCCTCTAAGCATCTCTGACTGATGCATGAGGGGCATGAGGCTCCTGAGGAGCTCATCTCCCCATCTGGCCACTGAGGATTGCCAGCACTGTCTCCCTTCCATGAAAACCTGCACGGCCTCGGTAACACCACAGCAAAGCTACTCAGGGGCACACAAGGGACGTGTCTGTGAAATCCCAGCTCCTATTCCCATCCTACAAGTACCAATCTCTTCCTTGGAAACTCTTTACGTGAGTTCCTAGGTGAGGTGATAGTGTCATAATCACCTTTGAAAGCTAATTTCCTGTCTTATGCACATTGGGACATTTACATGAAGTGATAAGATGCCCACGTGTGCTCAGAATGATGGGTGAGCATAGGGGAAGCAAAGGACAAGAGCCAGGCCCATCTGAACATTCAGAAAACAGTTTTCCAAGATGAAGCTTCACTTCGTGTTTGTTCTCTGAGCTCTGCCTTTCGCATTTCCACTAGTACAGGGACCCAAGGATCCCAGGGTCAAGCTAACTCCAGGAAGAAGCACAGGTACTACCTGCAACGAAACCTAAACGGAGGCTGGGCAGAGGACAGCTAACTACTGCTAAGGTATGTCAAGGCCACATAGTTATCTCACCCTCTCAAGTTTCTCAGCCACTTCTGAAGAGGGGTCCAGGGCAAGGCCACTCAGCCAGTCAGGCAGCTCAGCCCAGGAGCCTCAGAGCAACCCTGTGTGTGTCGGCGGGGGGGGGGGGGTCACTCTGTCTTTGAGATTACAACAGTCATTGAACACTCAGTTATCCACAAAGGACCTGAGTATCTGCTCCTACAGACATACACAGGCCACTGACAGCGGGGGGGGGGGGTTCACTCTGTCTTTGAGATTAAAACAGTCATTGAACACTCAGTTATCACAGAGAGACCTGAGTATCTGCTCCTACAGACATACACAGGCCACTGACAAATCACAGAATCAGAATCCAGAGAGGCCCAGGAGCCACACCAACCTGAGGGCAGAAGAGTCAAGTGACACCTTAGAGGGCATCAGCAAATTCCATATGGGGATGTGAGTGTGCGAAACAACCTAAGCAAGGAAGAAAAGGAGAGGAAAGTAAAACATGGAGTTATGAAGTAACTGCCTGCCAACTGCAGCGGGAGGATTCACCCAGACCCTGGTTCCAACAACCACTAAGAAAATTCCAAATTGGGGCGATGTAAACACTGATCTGAGATCAGGCTGACTTTACATGAGTTCCTATGCAGGGTGACAGTGTCATAATCAGCTTTGAATGCTGAGTTCCTGTCTTATGCACATTGTAACATTTACATAAAGTGAAAAGACCCCCACGGGCAGTCAGAATGATGGGTGAGCATAGGGGAAACAAAGCCAGGGACCTTCAGGCCAGGAATCCATGTTTAAAATGTTTTGCATTGGAAAGTGAAAGACCTGAAACACTTTTCAGTAGAAGCTTG